GTTTTATGTGTTTGTTTAAAAAAGTGATAGAGGGCATTCGTATGCTAGTGGCGTGAAAGCCGCTAGCATTCATATGGTAGTTTCACGAACAGTGACTTTCAACACTGTTTGTGAAATGAACAAAGTACCGAATGGGAGATGTGACGAGACCAACCTCGCCACTGTGCATTGGGGGAGCCTGGTTGCCCGCCTGCTGCCTTTAGACAATAGCCCCATGTTGAAACGCTTGATTTTCCCCTGCAGTGACATGAAAGCCAGGTCATTTGGTACTTGCCCTATTTGAATAGTGATACCCCAGATAGCTATGCCATGGAGCCCATTCGTATACCGAAAGACTATGGGAAAGACTTTGGCTCCATGGCGATTAAACTATGTGTATGTGATCTGAGCACCATTCAGTAATAATGTGCGCTCAGATCTAAGCTATTTGGGGATATGTTGAATGTACCTGTTTTATGCAATAGCTGCACAGTTATATATTTTTATGTATTTTATTGTCTTTTGCTACCATGTGTTCAATGGAGTTTTGCCTCTGTCCTTGGAGATAATTGGATTACTTCCCAATTATCTCCAGGATAAAAGACTCTGTGGAACTGGTTTTGGGCAGAAAAGCCATGCTTCATTTGGTCACTAAGGACTACAATCTATCTTTTGAACCACTGGACTAATTTGTATGATTTTGAATGTTTGTATTTGGAGTATGCTGATTCTGAAAATGTAAGTTTTATGTGAATGTGATACTTTTAAAGTTATTGTAACGGAACCGCTGGCACCCCGACCGGGTACCTTCCGCCGACGGATGCTCCTAGTGCTTTCCGAGGACTCCAAGCACTCTGCCTGACACCATAACCACTGCAGACCCCACGAACCGCCGCAGCTTGGTTGGGGTCTCGCCGTCTCCACCCACTCTGGACCCAGGAACAGGGTCCAGCTTCCAGCAGGTCGACCTCTCTCCGAATTCCAGAGAGCAGGAACAGGAACAGGAACAAGCTCTTAGCAGAGCTTAGTGATTATACCCTGGGGAGTATAGTGATTATAGCAATCCCTAGAGTGTAGTTTCTCCAATCCCCCAAACATGAGCCAAAACTTCATGAAGGTACAAGATGATCTGACTCCAATGAGCGTTTATTACTCCTTATATACAAGTTTTCAGGTCAGAGGCACACCCTCTGGACCTGGTGGTAAACTGTGACAAAAGGGACACAAACCAATGGGAACACTAATTAACATGATAACACTCTCACATACACAATGAAATCCCTCCTCTCCATCCTGGAGATAATTGGCTTAAGGCACTGCAGTAAACTCAATTATCGCCAGGTACAGAAAATATCTACATTTAACACTAACAGCAAAATACGTAAAAGTACATAAAAATACATAATTCTTATTTTATTACACAGAACCCCCACATTTAACCTATCCCCAGATAGCTCGGATCTGAGCGCCCAATCTAGGTGAACAGCGTGAACAGTGTGCCTGGGACAACGCCCTGCTGGAGAACAATAGACAGGAAATGGGGGAGGGGAAGAAACACACCTTCCCATGGATTCACATGGGAAGAAACTGTCTTTAGAAGTCAATAAGCCCCAAATAGTCTTTTTAAATGGCAATACACCCCAGGGCCATAGTCATGAGGAAGGAGGCTGGCAATCAGGCTCCTCCAAAAGCCGGGGGCAAAGGGCAGCTTGTCACCTAACAATCTAGGGACAAAAGGCATTTCGTCACACATCTCCCCTTTGGGGGGGAGACTAACCAGGTCGGTCGGTCAGTGCCTGAGTTAGTCGATAAACCCACCCACAGTGAACAAGTACATGGGTAGCCCACACACAAATAACAAGTGGCAAAGTAGCCCCCCCACAATAAACAGTACTGGCCGGTAGGTTCCAGGTGGTAGGGTACAAATGCAGCATCCTCGGCCTTCCTGGTGTAGCTGGGCAAATAGCTTGTGGTACTTGGGGGGCAAAGGCCAGCTGTGCTCTGCCCTGATGTCAGCTCTTGCGCTGGGATAGCCGGCAGAATGTCAAGCTCTGTACAAGGGTCAAAGGGAGGGCAGAGGCCAACTGCACTCTGCCCAGCTGCCAGCTCTTCCGCTGGTATAGGCTGCAGGACATCAGGCTCTGGACAAGTGACACAGGGAGGGCAGAGGCCGACTGCACTCTGCCCAGCTGTCAGCTCTTCTGCTGGGGTGCTGGGAACATAGTCCGGTGGAACATGGGAGTCAGTGGGGGTTAACATCTCCTCTGTTAACCCTGGGGCCAAGTTAGGAGTTAGCTGGGGAGGGGAATTCGTACTTACCCCCTCCTCCTGTTGTCCCTGTGAGGGTAGTTGGGGATCTGGACAGGCTGTCCAGCATCCCTGTAGGTCGGGCACGGAGACCACGGTCCCCTCTGCGCCATCTGGGAGAATGGTGTCTCCCCTTGGTAGGGTAAGCTGCTGCTGGGGAGATAGGGTGCTGTGCTCCTCTCCCTGAAACACAGTCTGCCGCTGGAGAGGGAGACCGCCTGTCTCCACTCCCATAACATTGTCCTGCTGCCGGAGAGAGAGACCAACTGTCTCTGCTCCCGGTAGGACACACTGCTGCTGGGGGGGAAGGACGACACCTTCGGCCCCCTGGAATTCACACTGCCGCTGGGGAGGAAGGGCGACACCTTCAGCTCCCTGTAATTCACACTGCTGCTGGGGAGGAAGGACGACACCTTCGGCTCCCTGTAATTCACACTGCCGCTGGGGAGGAAGGACGACACCTTCGGCTCCCTGTAACTTGCACTGTCGCTGGGGAGAGAGACCGGTTGTCTCTTCTCCCTTGTCAACACACTGCCGTTGGGGAGTAAGACCGACTGTCTCGACTCCCAGTGATGATGGTTGCTGCAGGGACGAGGGACCGACAATCTCCTCTCCCTGGGATGCTGTCTGCCGCTGGGGAGAGAGACCGGTTGTCTCCTCTCCCTTGACAACCCACTGCCGCTGGGGAGTCAGAGCGAATGTCTCAACTCCCAGTGATGATGGTGGCTGCAGGGACGAGGGACAGACAATCTCCTCTCCCTGGGATGCTGTCTGCCGCTGGGGAGAGAGATCAATTGGCCACAGCCCCAATCTCCGCAATCGGAGCTCAAATTCCCATGCCGCTCGATTCTCCTCATCCAACTTGCGCATGGTTGCCAGAATCGCCTCTGTCGAAAGATTTGGGCCATATCTGGTTAACCGCCTCTTGACTTCCTCCCTGTAAGCGTCGCCCTCAAAGCGATAGGTCATGTTTGCTGTGAACAGGGGCGCTGTACGAATACTAGCGTTGCCCTCAAATTGTAATTCCAAATGTTACCGGTGCCTCTGCGCTGCTTCTCCTCGCACTAGGACGCCATCCCACCGCTGCCACCACTGTAACGGAACCGCTGGCACCCCGACCGGGTACCTTCCGCCGACGGATGCTCCTAGTGCTTTCCGAGGACTCCAAGCACTCTGCCTGACACCATAACCACTGCAGACCCCACGAACCGCCGCAGCTTGGTTGGGGTCTCGCCGTCTCCACCCACTCTGGACCCAGGACCAGGGTCCAGCTTCCAGCAGGTCGACCTCTCTCCCAATTCCAGAGAGCAGGAACAGGAACAAGCTCTTAGCAGAGCTTAGTGATTATACCCTGGGGAGTATAGTGATTATAGCAATCCCCAGAGTGTAGTTTCTCCAATCCCCCAAACATGAGCCGAAACTTCATGAAGGTACAAGATGATCTGACTCCAATGAGCGTTTATTACTCCTTATATACAAGTTTTCAGGTCAGAGGCACACCCCCTGGACCTGGTGGTAAACTGTGACAAAAGGGACACAAACCAATGGGAACACTAATTAACATGATAACACTCTCACATAAACAATGAAATCCCTCCTCTCCATCCTGGAGATAATTGGCTTAAGGCACTGCAGTAAACTCAATTATCTCCAGGTACAGAAAATATCTACATTTTAAACTAACAGCAAAAATACGTAAAAGTACATAAAAATACATAATTCTTATTATATTACACAGAACCCCCACATTTAACCTATCCCCAGATAGCTCGGATCTGAGCGCCCAATCTAGGTGAACAATAGACAGGAAACGGGGGAGGGGAAGAAACACACCTTCCCATGGATTCCAATGGGAAGAAACTGTCTTTAAAAGCCAATAAGCCCCAAATAGTCTTTTTAAATGGCAATACACCCCAGGGCCATAGTCATGAGGAAGGAGGCTGGCAATCAGGCTCCTCCAAAAGCCGGGGGCAAAGGGCAGCTTGTCACCTAACAATCTAGGGACAAAAGGCATTTCGTCACAGTTATGAATAATGTGGAAAAATTGTATTTCTCTACCTGTGATAATTACATTAACCCATTGTATAAGGTAATTGTATCACAAGCAGAGGGGAGGATTTTGTGTGGGAGTGTATTGTACGTGTTTATTGGTTGTTTTCCAAAACCCTGTGGGTGGTACTAATGTGTAACAATGTGTATATAAGAACAATAAACCCACAGCTCTGTCTTTTTCTGCTTGACCCACAAAACGGAGCCTTGTCTCGTTCTTGGGGGGATTTATTGTATGCTGTTCCAGTTTGACTGCTAGGAGTGTAAACCTATTTGTATGGTTTTTCCTATTTGCCCGTTTACAGCATTCGTATGGTTCCGGTTTGGCTGTTTACGGCATTTATATGCTTCTCCGGTTCGGTGGATTGGTGTCTACAGTAGCTGCCTGTATATCTTAAAGGGAATGTCTCCTAAATGGCTTTTAACACCTTTTATGCCTGGGGGTGCCGTTACAATTGGTGGCAAGCGGCGGGATCGTTCCTACAGCTAGAAGGACAGCTACAATTGATAGACGACAGAACGTTTACAATAAGCGAATATTAGACATGTCGATTGATAGACGACGTTTACAATAAGCGAATATTAGACATGTCGATTGATAGACGACAGAACATTTACAATAAGCGAATATTAGACATGTCGATTGATAGACGACGTTTACAATAAGCGAATATTAGACATTTTGATTGATAGACGACAGAACGTTTACAATAAGCGAACATTAGACATGTCAATTGATAGATGACAGAACGTTTACAATAAGCGAATATTAGACATGTTGATTGATAGATGACAGAATGTTTACAATAAGCGAATATTAGACATGTCGATTGATAGATGACAGAACGTTTACAATAAGCGAATATTAGACATGTCGATTGATAGATAACAGAACATTTACAATAAGCGAATATTAGACGTGCCAGTCGATGTGTCGAAGCTGGTTGCAGCACGCAAACACTCAGAATATTACAGAACTGGAGGCTGTTGTTTATGAGCAATAGGCTAAGATTCCTTAGGAACGCTGCCAAAAGCTGGTATCTGGCTATGCCTCTCGATTGCAGCAGGTCATAACAGTAAAAGGATGCTCTACTAAGTACTAAAGATGCTCTCCATGAAGGGGTTGAATAATTTTGAGACTGGAAAAGTCATTATAAGGTGCATTTTTAGTTGAATTTGGGGAAACGACTTGAAGCATTTATTGTGTTGAGCTATTTCATTTGCTTAAGTTTACAAACAGCTAAACATCTGTAAATTGTGATAATAAAGCTGAGTTTCAATGGGGGTTAAATTATTTTGATTACAACAGTATACATATACACATACATTGCCACAGACACAGATATACACACACACACAGAGATATACACAGATATACACACACACACAGCTATACTCACAGATATACACACCGATATAGACACAGATATACACACACACACAGATATACACACATATACAGATATACACACAGATATACACACCGATATAGACACAGAAATACACACACAGATATACACACACACACAGATGTACACACACACAGACTTAAGTTTGAGGCCCCCCACCAAGGTAACTCATGGACCAGCAATAACATTTAAGTTGAATACTATATCAACAAAAATAATGCTGTTTTGTAATTATAATTACTGCTAAAAAAAATATAAATAAGAAACAATAAAAATGAAATAATATTAACACGGCAGTGACGTAGGAGCAGAGTGACGTCACATGCTGGCTCCGGCATCATTAGAGGGTGCGCAAGGAAGCTGTGCAGGCAGGGTACAGTAAGTACACCACTTACACACTACTCACCCACACCTGGTGTCTACTCTGCCTAAGTGTGGGGACTGCCGAGAGGGGCCCACCACACATGGCAAGCCGCTGGGTCTGCATATGGTGTCCAGCCCTTGGTTTGTGACTGAGGCTCATCTGGCCACAGACCAAGGACTCGACAGCCTGGATCTCCCTTATAGGTAAAACGCCAGGACCCGGTTGCAATCACGACTGTTGCAACCCTGGTAGTTCTCTTTGTTCCTGCGATAAATCAGATTTTTAGGCTTTAAAGCCATTTATCTATTTTAGTGCACCCCATAGTCTCACCAATGGGAAGTCATCAGGGTCAATCCACAAAATGCTCAGATCTGGATTCTCTGTGTTTTCACGGGCAACCTCCTTCAATATCTGAAGAAATTCATAACCGTCTAAAAAAAATAAAAGGAATCAGGCAAAGTGTCACCAACATAAAATATGGGACAGTTAGACAGCACGTTCAAGAGATAACCACACACTAAGACCACGTCTGTCAGACTTACTCCAAGCATGGCTGGGAGCAGAAATGTATCTAGTGGGCCTAGCATGTACTCTAATCAGTACATGGGGCCCACTATTTATAACCATTATACCGCGGACACTAGTTATACCCATTATACCGGGGACACTATTTATATCCGTTATACCGGGGACACTATATCGGATATACCGGGGACACTATTTATACCCGTTATACCGGTGACACTATTTATATCCGTTATACAGGGGACACTATTTATACCCATTATACCGGTGACACTATTTATATCCGTTATACAGGGGACACTATATATACCTGTTATACCGGGGACACTATTTATATCCATTATACCAGGGACACTATTTATATCCGTTATACAGGGGACACTATTTATATCCATTATACCAGGGACACTATTTATACCCGTTATAAAGGGAACACTATTTATATCCGTTATACCTGGGACACTATTTATACCCGTTATACCGGGGACACTATTTATATCCGTTATACCGGCGACACTATTTATATCCGTTATACCGGGGACACTATTTATATCCGTTATACCGGGGACACTATTTATATCCGTTATACCGGGGACACTATTTATACCCATTATACCGGGGACACTATTTATACCCATTATACAGGGGACACTATTTATATCCGTTATACCTGGGACACTATTTATATCCGTTATACCGGGGAAACTATTTATACCCATTATACAGGGGACACTATTTATAGCCGTTATACCGGGGACACTATTTATATCCGTTATACAGGGGACACTATTTATACCCATTATACCGGGGACACTATTTATACCCATTATACAGGGGACACTATTTATACCCATTATACAGGGGACACTATTTATAGCCGTTATACCGGGGACACTATTTATTCCCATTATACCGGGGACACTATTTATACCAATTATACCGGGGACACTATTTATATCCGTTATACCGGGGACACTATTTATACCCATTATACAGGGGACACTATTTATATGTGTTATACCAGGGACACTATTTATACCCGTTATAAAGGGAACACTATTTATATCCGTTATACCTGGGACACTATTTATACCCGTTATACCGGGGACACTATTTATATCCGTTATACCGGCGACACTATTTATATCCGTTATACCGGGGACACTATTTATACCCGTTATACAGGGGACACTATTTATATCCGTTATACCGGGGACACTATTTATACCCATTATACAGGGGACACTATTTATATCCGTTATACCGGGGACACTATTTATACCCATTATACAGGGGACACTATTTATATCCGTTATACCGGGGACACTATTTATACCCGTTATACAGGGGACACTATTTATATCCGTTATACCGGGGACACTATTTATACCCATTATACAGGGGACACTATTTATATCCGTTATACAGGGGACACTATTTATATCCGTTATACCTGGGACACTATTTATATCCGTTATACCGGGGACACTATTTATACCCATTATACCGGGGACACTATTTATACCCATTATACAGGGGACACTATTTATATCCGTTATACCTGGGACACTATTTATATCCGTTATACCGGGGAAACTATTTATACCCATTATACAGGGGACACTATTTATAGCCGTTATACCGGGGACACTATTTATTCCCATTATACCGGGGACACTATTTATACCAATTATACCGGGGACACTATTTATATCCGTTATACCGGGGACACTATTTATACCCATTATACAGGGGACACTATTTATACCCGTTATACCGGGGACACTATTTATACCCATTATACAGGGGACACTATTTATACCGGGGATACTATATCCATTATACCGGGGACACTATTTATATCCATTATACAGGGGATACTATTTATACCCATTATACAGGGGACACTATTTCAATGTGCATTTATTAAAGCAGGAATTTTGACTCATCTATAGTCGGTGAGTGTGTACTCCATTTAGTAATTAGTGTTACCTGGATCTTCCTCTTCAGCAAAAGCCACAATGTGGATCCCATCCAAATCATCCTCCTGTGAAAGACATGAGAATTAGCGAATTTCCCCATATTTCCTACCATCTGCCCCGCTCAGGGACAGCCAGCAACCCACTCTTTAGGAAGAATTATGGTCTTGGGTGTCTGGGAGATTGTGGTGAGTGCCGTCCATCCCACTCACAACTACACAGCCACCAGGGAAGGCTCTCTGTATCATTTCATTCCGAGAATTTATTGCTTCATATTCAATTAAGACATTTACTGAGATGTGAATGCAATCAGCACTACACAATATGTTGGTGCTAGGTAAATGATATTATGTACAGAATCTCTCTGTTGGCTGAGACTGTGTAATGATGGAATTAGATATAAATGACCCCAATGGAACTGGGAACAAATTAATAAGCCTATGTATGCTCCCACTGCGGTTAGAGTGCCCCGTCCCTGCATCCACTACTCCTGTCAACGTTGGAGGAATTATATTGTGGCAGCCACTGGTGACATTAGTTTCACTAATCCACCAGAGAGGACGGTGTCTACAAACTCAGATTATCTGTCACATTATATAATGTCACTGACACCCCCCATCCTATCTAAATGCTAATGTCACTGTGTGTAAACTGGAATCAGACACAGGAAGATTCTCAGAGAAAGGGGATGGGAGACAAAGAGAGAGACACAGAGAAAGGGAGAGGGAGATTGAGAGAGACACAGAGAGGAAACCTCCAGGTGGCCCAGAGGCGCCAGCGCACTGGGTATGATCGGGGAGCCAGGAGCCGTAGCTTTCAAGTCGGTCAGAAGGTTTTGGTTTTGAAACCTGTCCGACACGACAGCCTACAGGCTGCCTGGCAGGGCCCATACCGGGTAGTGGAAATGAAGTGTGACACTACCTATGTGATTGGTCCTTGCTCAGGTCCCGGGGTTAGACGCCTGTTACATGTTAACATGCTGAAGGCCTACCACGAGTGGACAGAGGATGTAGCCGCCATTTTGACAATCTTCTCCTGCTGGACCTCCTGGAGGAAGAAGCTAAGGCTTCCATAGATGAGGTCCACTTGGGGGACAGACTAACCAAGGAGGAATGCAGCCAGGCAAAGCTGATGCTGTCTACAAAGAGGGAGACGTTCTCCAATCTGCCCGGGTATACCTCACTGGCCAACCACCGGGTAGAGACCCCAACCAACAACCTCTGCGGCAGACCCCCTGCAGAGTACCAGAGGCCGTACTGGAGAATATGAGTCAGGTGATCCAAGAGTTGCTCCAGCTAGGGGGTCATAGAACCATTCAAGAGTCCTTGGAACTCCCTGGTAGTGCTGGTCCCGTCGAGACGGAGTCACAAGGTTCTGTGTAGATTACCGAAGGCTCAATGACAAGATGGT